TGTGTAGGAACCCCATCACTCCCTAGTTTGGAATCAACCATTAAACCATTAGGATAAAAAGAAAGAATAAGGTTATTATGTATGTGTGTGTATAAATATCAAAATATAATTATGTGTATGAATGTATGACTATTACTATACCTAATATATTCATGTATTTGTATTTGAAATCTTATGAATCAAATAAACAATATCAACCCAATCAGATTTTACAACCTTACAAAATAATAATAATTTAATCAATGCATAAGTGAACCAGAACTGTGGAATGTGGAGATCAATGAGACAGACCTAATAAGAGATATCACAGTATTTCCTTTCTCCATGGGTTTATTACTTTAAAAAGTAGACATTATAAATTAAAGTAATAGCACATGCTCACTGTATTGTACTTGAAAAAGTGTGTGAATTTTGATTTGGAAAAGTGCATTCTTTTGTAAGAATGGACATATCTAATTTTTAAAGTAGAGTATAATATCAAAACGTGCCATAAAGATAAAAATAAGTCTTTTGTAAACCTCCAAAATACAGAACATAAAAAGTAAGTAAAATCACTGAGTATCAAAGCATTCATATCAAATAAAAGAAAGTTTAATGCTTCAATTCTTATGAATTATAGATCTTAAGGTATAGTGTTCAAAATAAAGGAGCAATGGAGTAAGAATGAGAACAACTCACACCCTGGAAGACAGCACAGTGCTGAAATTCCTACAGCCCATGGCTACCTGTACTGAAGTGTATCCTGGAGAGCAGCCTCGCTTCACCTTTGTAAATCTCAGTTTTCTCACTTGCAAGCAAGGGATAATAACAGTATGCTGAAAATATGGTGAAATGGAGAAGTATGGGGAGATCAGAGTGCATGGTATATCACTTAATTCATGTGAGCTTTTACTAGTACCATCATTATCATTATCTACCTTTTAATCATCCCAGTGATTCAATGAGAAATGCATTATTTTCCCTCTTTTGAAAAAGGAATATCATAGAGAAAATAGTAAGAACTGAGATGCTAAACCTGAGCTCTTCTTCATGAGATAAGCACATCTCAAACTCTTTAATATTAAACTAATGAAAGTTAAAATAGCATCAATGATTTTTATATCTGCATCTCTATTAATAATCTGTCTCCAGCCAAGCAGAATATCCCTGCTGGTGTCAACAAGGTTTTAAACATCAGTCTACTCGTTCCTTAGTACCTGCTGGCTTGGATGATGGCTCAAATGGTAGAGCACCAATAAGCCTTGAGTTCATTCTCCATTTTCCAAGTGGATAAACAAATAAATACTTTTAAAAACAGAACAAAACACCCTACAAGGAAAGCCTGTTGGTTGCATCACATACAGAAAGCCAAGTCACCCAAAATTGTGCCGTTCTGGGAATGATCCTTATGCAATAACTGGTTGAGGCATTGTTGTCTGATCATGTGTGACTGGTCATGTTATTCCAGAACTTCTTCTGAGGTTGGCTGAGGCTTTGGGTCTGCATTCCAGGTTGTCTTATCTCTCTGCCTTTGTCTACTTCTCTCCTCCTTCCTACAGACAACTGTGTGGTAAGAGGTGACAGACCAGCTGTGAAAATTATCACTATTCATGAATTCTGAAGGTATATACAGGAATGCATTGTAAAAATAAAAACAGCATGGTACTGGCAAAAAAACCCCAAAAAACAGACATGAAGACCAATCACAGCTACTCCCATATGATTTTTCATAAAGGTGTCCAAAACATATGATGGAGAAAATGGAGCCTCGTCAACAAATGTTGATGGGAAAACTGGATATCTACATTCAGAAAACTGAAACTAGACCATGTCTATCACCCTGTACAAGTATCAACTCAATGTGATAAAGAACATTAATATAAGATCTCATACTTTGAAGCTAGTGCAGGAAAGAGCAGGAATTAATAGGCATAGACAATGAATTTCTCAATAGACTCAAATGGCTCTATATCCAAGAAAAAGGATTGACAAATGGGACTACATGAAATTAAAAAACTTCTATACAACAAAAAAAAAATGGTAACAAGAATTAAGAGGCTCCACAAAGAATAGAAAAAAATCCTGACAGCTTTATATCTGATGGATTAATAACCAGAATATACAGGGAGCTCAAAAAACTTAACTTCCCAAAAAACCAAGGACCCAATGAAGAAATGGGCAAATAAACTGAACAAAGCTTTTTCAAAGGAAGAAGTCCAAACGGTTTTTAAAAAAACACATGAAAAAATGCTCAACATCCTTGGCCAAAAAGAAAATGCAAATCAAAACCTCATTTAGATTCCACTTCACACTTGTTGGAATGGCTATCATCAAGAAAAGAAACAACAAATGTTGAGATGTGGGGAAAAAGGAACCTTCATACACCTTTGGTGGGAATGTAAAATAGTACAACCACCATGGAAAACAATATGGAGGCTCCTCGATAACCTAAAAATAGAACTGCCATATGATCCAGAAATATCACTCCTAGGGATATACCCAAAGGAAAAAAGTCAGTTAAAATAAAGACACCTGCACACCCATGTTTATTGCAGCATTATTCACAGTAGCTAAGCTATGGAAATAGCTAAGATGCTCCACTACTGATGAATGGATTAAGAAAACTGTAGTATTTATATACAATGGAATGTTATTTACCCATGAAGAAAAATGAAATTCTGTTATTGGCAGGTAAATAGATGGAAGTGAAGAACATCATCTTAAGTGAAGTTAGTGAGGTTCAGAAAGTCAACCTCATATTTTCTCTCATATGTGGAATATTGATCCAATAAAAACACAAGCAATATTATGAGAAACAGGTCAGGCTAAGGGGAGGTCATATACAAGAGAGGAAGAAGGAGTTTAGGTGAATATGGTTGATGTAATTCCTATTCAAAAATGAATGTAGAATTGTTAATCCTGTTGAAATCACTATAAGGCGACTAAGGAAGAAAGGAGAAAAAGAGAGGGAATGAAACAATTTGGGTTATAATACATATATACATGGAAATACACAATGAAACTCCTTGTATGGCTATCCTAAACAAAACAGTCATTTATTTTTCAAAAACAGAAAACAAGAAGGCAAAACAATTCTTACATGGGGGGTCTGGTACCAGTGGGAGGGAGGAGGATACAAGGAAAAGTTGTTGCAGGTAAATATGGTGGAAACATGTACGCATGCATGTAAATAGAAAAATGAGACCTGTTGAAACTATTTCAGGAATGGGGAAGAGGGAATAAAGGAGAATGATATAGAAGGTAAATTAAACTATGATACATTATAAGAACTTCTGGTAAATGTCACAAATGTACACTTACATTTCTCCAGTAAAGATATACAGATGGACAATAAGAACACTAGAAGTTCCACATCATTACTCATTAGGGACATGTACATTAAATCAGCAGACATCTCCTCCTATCCACTAGAGTGGCTATATTTAAAAAAAAAAGAAATGGAAGAGAAAAAGAAAGCAATGTTGGTGAGGATATGAAAAAAAATTGGAGTCTTTCTGTCCTGTTGATGGGAACTTAAAATGGCATAGGTGCTATGGAAAAGAGATTGAAACTTCAGAGGCTGTTCTATGCTCTGTTACAGAATATCCCACCTCTAGTCCCAGGTGTTCTGAGGGTCATTTCAGCATATCACACAGTTTAATAGTGAAATGAAGAGTTGCTCTGTGCGAGAAGGACATATGTTTCTTCAGCAACCTGATAAGGATGACTGCCTCATCCTACTTTTGCATAAAATAAACAGAGAAACCAGCAAGGTTTTTTATTTCAACATGTGAGAATCATTACTTCTTTTCAGGCCAGGAAATGAAAAAAACAAAACCACAATGTCTGTGCAATAGAGTATTTAATATAAATATTCATATCCAACATTGTATTAACCAAAAATAGGTATCAGCACATTCAAACAAGGGTGTAATTTTCCTTTTTATACCAGTACTCACTCTCCTTCCCCCTCCCTCCAAGTCCTGATTCCCACAGCTCATGATGCAGCAGGGATGTCAACTTGTGTAACATAAATGGAAGACACCTTTCGGGCCTCAGCAACTCTATTCTAGAAAAGGCCTTAGCTCCCAGCCATCCAGACCCTTGCGAAACATCCATACAATATGCCTTTGGAAAATCTGAGTCCTTTCCACTTACTCCAAGGCAGGGTGAGTCTGGTACCAGGCTTTCCCACTGTCCACCTGTTGAGTGTTATTTTCTTCAGAATAAAGTGATAGTTAGCAGATGAATTCACGGAATAATATACGTTAGAAATATCAGGAATCTTCATCTCTGGTATGTGAGACAGAGTTTTGTTCAGGGACATCATGTGGAATGTGCCACCTCTACTACTTGGAGCTTTCTCCAGTACCCATCTGAGCCACAGCACTGATTGGTCACCTGGATCAGAGAAGGGGGCAACTCATTAGGACAAGGGTGCTACAGTGGCATAGCAAGGTAGTGTCCAGGAGAGATACTCCACAGCCACCACAGCACTAAACACTGGGCTCAAACCACAACAAATTCTGAAAACTGGTCACCTCCACAGCCAATGAGCCATGAGTCTTGTGGCTCATGATTCCAAGACTGCATTGGCAAGGAAGTCACAGACCATCACCCCGCCCCCCCACCATGGAGATGTCAAGTGTTACAGCTAACTTATGCTCAAACTACAGGGCCTCCATCTTGCCCCAAGAGAAAGTCAAGTTGGTCAAAGTGGTCTACTGTTCCCCACCTCATCTCTCCTCAGCACAGTTCCTTCACCTTATTTCTCCTCACTGACCCCCAACGTGCAGGCACACTTGGCCTGGGGTCTAGAGACACTGCTCCCTCCATTCTCTCATGAGTGTTGACCACTGCCTTCTAAGACTCTGTCTGTACTTCCTGATTCCACACACCAGGATGCTCTTATAGATGTTGCTACTGTTGACCTCCAGGCTCATATGGATGATACAGCAGTTGCCCACCTGCTGGTTGTACAGCAGGTGTTGCAGACCCTAGAGATAGGGAACTTGTTGCTGCTAGTGGTGGCTGCAGTCTTGCTGGAGTTTGGCACCAAGGAGGGTTGCTCGAGGTGGAAGACTAAGAGGATGACTAAGAGGCCAACTTCCAGAGCTGTGAGAAACAGCAATATCAGATGTCCAGACCCCGCAGGGCACTCCAGCCTGGGAGCCACCTCTAGGGATTCTAGAAGCTGTCTTCAGGAGCTGGGGCTTCTGGTCCCCTTGTCTGGACATTGAGTGGACAAGGCTGGCACCTTGAAGAGGAGTGAAAGGATGGAAAGTCACCTTTTCCTGGCCATCAGGAGACTCCAGGATACAGCTCATGTTGATCCATTGTATGTCTGAGCTAGAGGACCCAGTTGAGTTCATGCAGAATTGGTCACCCATGTACCTACCCACTGCTGAAATTGTTGTCACACTTGAGCTGGTCACAGGGCTTGGTATTGCACTCTGTGTTCGGGGCCTGGCAGCTAGATGAAGGGGCTGGCTTAAGTGAGGTCCCTCCACAAAGACACAGTCTACCCCAGCATCCCCTCAGCAGTCTGTGTTCATGGAGCAGTGCTAGTAGCTCTGTAAATCCTGTTTTCCTTTTGTCCCAGGAATCTGGGGGATCAACACATTTCACTATAGAGGAAACTGACGCCAAACCAGCTGAGGGCACTCACCCATTTATAAGTGTGTTCACAGGTGGAATGGGATCCCAACATGGACCCAGGCACTTATTTGCTCCCAATGTCTGTGTTCTTGGTCTTCTGGATAGTGCTAGCTGACATGGATGGAGGCTCCGAATTACATGAAAGCTTGTAATTATGGAAGGCTATGTTGAGGCTAAAAAGAGACACATCCTGACTCCTGCCCAGGGCCTACTTGGAAGCAAAAGCCTGGCTGCCCACCTCTCACCAGCCAACAATGTGATACTGACCCAAGGCATATGACAAATGCTCATGTGAGTCAGCCCAAGGTACAGCCCATTCTGGTTACCCACAGTGCTTCCCAAACCTCACCTTTGTGCCTCACTGAGATGCTCCATGCCCCAGAACCAGGCACCAAAGAGCTCCTGGGTGAAATGCTGTATACTTGTAATAAGTAGCCTGCAGTTGCTTGATTTGGTTGATCACATGGAACTCCTGAACCATGGAGAAGGACAACATGGTAAGCGCTGTGAGCAGGTGTCACCTGGGGCAGGTTTGCTCTGGGAAGGCTCTTTCCCTCAAGTCCACCCAGGGTCCTTCCTTCCTGTTCTCACAGCCTGCTTTGAATGGCCACTCCCACAAAGCTGTCCTGATCCACCTGAGACCCCCCCCCAGCCTTTCAATGAACACCCCCTTCTCTCACTATCAAATATCACCATAAATCAATAGGTGGGCAAGGATTTCAGTGTACTATGCAGTCAGATACTCCTCACCCACTCCATGACTTAGAGCACCATCTACTCACCTTCCTCTCTTCTCAACATTGATGATTTTCTCCTAGAGAGCAAAGAAGCAATGTGCTTAGAATGTGGCCTCTCAAGAACTGAGGACCACAAACTCCTCTGCACTACCAGGAAAGGCCACCAGGTGATAGGGTGCACGTGTACCTCTACTAGGCCCCTCTTTCAATCCATGGCAAGGACACATAGGGGTAGACTTAGAGCACTGTTTTGCCCAACATTTAGTAAGGACATAGGAGAGACTGAAATTTCAGGTGAGAAGGCTGTGATTTTCCTATGAGCTGTCTCCCCTTGGAGGGCCTGGCTTCACTGTCCTGCTTAGTTACTATGTGAGAGACTTGCCAAACCAACAAAACTGTGTATGTGCCGGAAGGCAGCTCTCTGGCATTACTAGGTAGGATGAATGTGATGCTTACCAATTGGGTGACGTGTGGCTCTCAGGAGTGCTGGAGGTGAGGGGTCAGCCAAAGGCTCTTTCCCTGAAACCTGTTCCCCTGCCTCTGGCCCAGGCTCACTCACATAAAAATAGTCCTTCATGGCATTGTCCAGTATCATCAGGTCAGTGAGAAAGATGCCCAGGTAGGGGATGGTGCCCTGGATAAAACAAAGACTTCACAGAGGGGATAATAAACAAGTTCTAGTGCTCCTCCAATAAAGGATGTTCTGCCGGACCCTGTTCATCCCAGGGATTCCCACTCAGAATAATCTGCAGATCTTTAGACACCTCTCTTAAGTGAGATGTTCCCCAGGACATCTGGGAGTGCAAATACATATGTGTAACTCCCAAAATGGCCTCTGGCAGATCGCCAAAGTATGTGGTCCTTACCCATTGTCCTTATAGACTCTGCTGTGTCAGGAAGAGGGAGTATTTCCTCTACAATGTTAATTGGTAAGGGCATACATATACTAGGGATCAGAACAGTCCTGAAGGGCATTTCATGCCTGTTGAGCCCATCTCTCCATCTGTTCACAGGGACACCTGGCTTCAGACACTATCACTTACCATCTCCTTGGACTGCCTCTCAGTCCTCTTGAACTCCCACCCTATGGTTGCAAATTTGGACATTCCCTCTGCCAAGATTGAGAATGGAATTAGGGAATCCTGTCTTCTTTCAGCCCTTGACTATCTAAAGACCTGACCTGAAGGTCCCTTGGTTAGCTGTGCCAACTCTTTCCATTGATATAAAAATTCTTCATCAAGCCCCTATTCCAACACTCAGTATTTGGGAACCCTTGATGGCTATGTATCATTCCTTCTTCCTGTCTTATCATATGCAAAGTGCACATGTGAAGGCATCTGCCTTATGGGGTCTGGGAGTTCTCAATATCTCCTTCCTGTCCTCCTGTTATCTGCTATCCTGACTCCAGCCTTTGCCAAACTCTTCCTCAGAACTTCTGAACCTGTCTTTTGCTGCTTGGAACCCATTTTCTCTCCTTATGTAAGCTCTCAGACTAAAGATTGATCCATTTGTTAGATATGGAAACTGAGGGCTGGACAGGGTTGTTAAGGCACAGGGTCCTTCAGCTGCTCAAGGTGGGGAGGCCTTAAGCCCCAATCTGGACAGTAACCATGGTCCTATCCTGTGACCCCTTGGTCTGTACTAAGGATACTTGCTGAACTGAGCCATAAAGTGGAAGGTACAAGAAGGCTTGATATCTTCCTGCTGAGTCCCCTCAAGTCTCTGCACCAAGGTGGCACCTAATGTCAAGGTAAATGCTTCTAGACTCCACTGAGCCTCTCAGGATATCCCTTAGCATAAAACTCTGCTTTTGTCCACTGAAGTCTGAGAATACCCCAGGGACTATCTCTGGTTGATCAGGGGTGTGCAGCATTGACACTTTGCTTCCTCTTTTTCATGAGAGTTTCTCGAGTTAAGTCAGAAAAAGCCAATGGTGAGTTCATCAATCCTTGTTACATTTAAAGCACCTGGGCACTTCAGGACTCTCAGGTGGATGCTAACCTCCCATGGGTCCTCTCAGATGGGCTGACCCTCTGCATCATCTGCTCTTGGGCAGATATAGGGACATATGATGCATCCAGATTTAAATCCTGGGTCTGGACATTTGGACCTAAATTTGATTTCAGCTTATGCTGCTGGCTGACTACTGGGGACCCCTGAAGCTCCAGGTCCCTGCACTGTATACCCACAATGAAGGGTGACAGTGGCCTGAATTCATGAGGTCAGGTTGGGCTGTTAAGGGAAGACAGTCACATCCCCTTCCATCCACATAGAAGGTGGCTGGTGCTAAATCCCAGAAGAAAACCAAACATCCCTTAATCCTGCACCTCAACCACTCTCTTGAACAATCATGCTACAAAATCTGCATACCATTACCAGGACTTTCTTAATCCAAAACTGCCTACTATGTACCTAACGGACAAACACAGTCTCTTCTATTCATCCTGAACAAATATTACTGGAATCTGTTAAACACTATTAGTGACCAGGATGGTGGACCAAGCCTGTAATCCTACCTACACAGGAGGCAGACATCGGGATGATCAGAATTTTACACTGGTCCTAGGAATTACTTCTCAAGACCCATCTCAATCATTGGCTCAGCTGGATGGCATGTGCCTGTCATCCCAGCATCCCAGGGAAGCACAAATAGGGAGATCACAGGCCACAGAGGTCTGGAAGTAAAGTGAAACACTATCTCAATAATAACCAAAACAAAAATGGCTGGTGATGTGGTTGATGTGGAAAAGCAGATACCTAGCAATCATGAGTACCTGTGTTCAAGTTCCCAAAAGGACCACTTTTAGTGAGAAACTAATTTAACCTTCTGTATTCCCATGTCAATGCTAAGTTTCCACCCACCTTGGTGAGCAGCTTTCTGCTCATGGAGTGATTCTTTTCAGGAGAAAAAATCCTTGACAGCTTCTCAAATTTCTGGAAGCTTTCCCTGCAGGAAGGGTAAAAAGAAGGTGACAGTGAGAAGAGTGGGGAGTGGTAAGAGTGTGACACCATATTCTTGCAGGATCATGATTCCAAACTGCTGGACAAGAGGTTTTGAAGTAGCTCCACTGAGTATTAAGCATGGATGGTTGTGGAGGGGGATCTTGGTGCTGGAACAATGGGTGCCACATCCCCATTTACTGAGGGGCTCTGTTTTAATATCAACTGGACACAGTTCTGTTGCTCAAATGTGAGGACATGAAAATCTGCCACATGGATCCAACCAGTGTCTGGCAGACAAGGAAGCCTTGTCCTTCCATACATACTGATCAGGTACCACAAACACCAAATTGTGCCCCCCACCCAGTGGCCCTGGACCTCAGTGCTTGAGGCTGGGATAATTGAGGAGCAATGCCACCTACTGTACACAAGTAGCTTCTCCAGAGGGAGGCACACATGCCTGGAGACTTCTTCCCAAGTCCTCTTCAGGCAGTAGATGGCAATGTTCTGCAGAGCAGAGAGAATGGCGTAGAGGGAAGAGAAATTGTTCAGAACGCCACACTCCTAGAAAGATGAACATGTGAACCTCAGATAGAGCAGCCCGTAAACCACCTCAGCTGTCACTGATGAGACCCTTTAAAGGAGATAAATACTAGGAAGCTCTGGGGATACAAAAAGTACCCACATGTAACTAGAAAAGTACTTGAGCTCACAACCAGTATAGTTTCAGGAGAGAATGAGCACCCTGGCCAGGACTGTGAGTGTCCAGGCTACACAGCCCTGAAAAGGAGGTACCTGGGTTCCTAGCAGGGGCTCAGAACACAAACCATATCCTGAGAGGTAGGGAAGGTGAACAGGTTATCCATGGGCCCTTTCTGTAGCATACCCCAGCAACCTCAATCCAGTGTTCCACCACCCTGGAACACTGTCTGGGGCCTTCATACTCCAATCACCAAGGCAAGTGGTCATCACACAGGTGGCCACATTGTTGAATTGGATGATGGTGGCATGAATGGTGGGTGCAAGATGCTCATTGCCCTTCTTGTCCCACTAGGACCAAATGGAACCCAGGCAGTGGTAGGGAACCACCTTCTTGAATAGTTCCTGGGGAACAGGGTCCAATCAGCCCTACACAGAACAAGCCTTCAGGCCAAGACTGGAGCCAGTGGTAGTGGCTACACCTTGGCATGCTGAGCATGTGGATAAAGACTTGTGGGACTCTCTGGGTTTCTTGCATGACCATCAAAAACACCCAGAACATGAGTGACCCAAATAAAAGCTTTTGGGGGCATGAAGGGAATTTTCAGTATCCAAACTCACTCCACACAATAGTAAATATCTCACACCTGCACAACCAGAAAGTACCTCTGCTCTCCTCTAGCATACCTGTTGTCTAACTCCAATTTCCTCATATATTTCTTATATCCAAGGGCTTGTCCTACAACTACCATAAGCTCTGGTACACATTAGGTGCTGAGTACTGAGGTTTATTACCCCATCCTAGGAAGATGGTGTTCTGTGGGCCTGCCTAGACCTCTGCCCTATACATGAACCTACACAGTAACTGGAGAGATCCCATATCCATTGTACAAAGGGGGAAATGAGTTTTCCAGAGTTTAGGAAGTGACTTCCAGGGTTAGAATGGGGATTTAAATGGGAACATCAGCTAAGCCAGGGAATGTCAACTGTGGATAAAATAGGCCAGAAGGACATGTGCCACCACCCTCCCTGTCCAGTGACTCACAGCATCCATCTGAGTTAACTACTTTGCAATTAAATCAGGTGGGAATCCCAACAAGACATGATGCTTCTCCTCATTCTATCTGTTCTCTGTGGTCACATCTGAAGGCTCTGAAGGATCTGACTGCTGCTCAAGAGTACCTGATGAAACTGATTCAATGTCTGGAGCCTTGAATTGAGCTGAGTCAACTCTCTGGAGTTGGTTTTGGAGCCAGCAATTGAGCTGGTGACACTGCTGCAGCTGGAGACAAGATCCTGATATGGCTGCCTTGCCTTGAGTCTTTCTAAAGCCAGAGATAGCTCCAGCCTGCCTGAAGTTCCAGTTTGAATCCAAACAGGAAACTTTCCCAGACTGTGTACCAACCCCTATGGAATCACAGGCTCATCCTTGGTCTAGGTCCAGAAGCAGGCTTAGAACCTCCACACTGTGGGGCTCTGCACCCTTCCCATCTTATGTGCTCTATTTTTACCCCAGGCTGCTCACTCTCAGTTTCAGGCTCACTGAACTCTAAGTGTTCCCACTGGGCCAGAAGAAGCTGAGCATGGCAATCCTCATTTGATCCCAACATGTTGAGCTGAAGATAAGCTATCAGCAGCATGAGGCACAGAAAGTCTGGAAGCTGACAGAAGTCCTCCAAGTATTGGTTCAGACAGGTGTTCAGGATGGAGGAGATGGTCCTGGAAGAAGATGGATAGTTAGCAGAATCAGAAGCCTTCCCTTGCTGGCAATTGCCCTGTCCTGCCATAGTTGACTTGTTAGTGCTGGCTTCCTATATTTGCCCCTATCTATCCAGAGGCCAGCACAACCGAACCAAGCCCTTCATCTGTCCAGGCACAGACAAGCAAGATAAATATGCAGGAGTTGCAGGGAACCTCTATTGCCTGGTTCATGCTAATGGTGAGATCTTCCCTGAAGAGGAAAGATCTGTGTTCTGTGTGTCTCTGGTACCCCTTCCCTCAGAATGTCAGCTCCACTAGGGTGTGTCCACCTGCCTGGTATTCACTGAGTGCTGGTAGCCCTCAATAAGTGCTTTGTGCTTCCTCACTTTCATGAGTAGTGTGGGGGCTGTCTAACCATGACACCATTTTCCTGATGAGTGCAATCTGACTTCTGAGGACTCACTAGACCCCTGGGAACCAGCAGAGTTCCAATTACTGAGAAGCATGGCCTTTATACCTTCTCTGTGGCATGAAGGGCCATATGGTGGGGAAGCCTGACAGGCACAGGCTGTCTTGAAGGTAACAGATTTATTTTCACAGGAGTCCACTCTGAGTCACTGGTGCCCAAGACCCCAACCTTCTTGTTGGAATCACGAGTATTTAGGAAGCCAGGATCTTCCCAGTCTTATCTAAACCCAGCCACAAATGTCCCCACTCTTGACACAGGTACCCAACCTCTTTATCCAACAGTCACTCACTTTTTGAGGTGATCCTTTCGTCTGTCATCCTTGTTGAAGCTATACCTAGAGGAGTCCAAGAAGGTGTTACATCTACTGTACCTACTACAAAACCTGATATTACTGTCTGTATACCCCAGCAAATGGAGTCCAGGATATCAGAGATTTGCCTTCTCTTTTACGTAATTATGCTATGCCCCTAGAAACCTTCCAAGAACACAGCTGATGCCTCATGTGTATTTGTACAAAAAAAGCAATCACAGTGCTCCTTCCCAGACACTTCACTGAGCCTGTCTTCCTCAGCAGCCGTAGAATGTGCTTTTCCTGATTCCCCAAATAAGTGAGGACCAAGACAGAGAACTTCTTCAAGGGGAAAGGGTAGTCATACAAAGAACACACAGTCCTGGGCAGCTTACACCTCAGGGTAGTCCTGGACTAAGGGCTCATCCTACTGGGTCCGGGCAAAACCCTATGTGGGTGGTCCTTTGAGCTCCCATTCTCCAGTGTCAAACTGGGGAAAGAGCAGCATAAGGCATTCCAAGGCACAGTCAAAAGAGGAGATTCCTTTGGGCTTGGAGATGGGGTTTACCTTGTGAACAGCAGGTCCAGAACCTGCTGTGTGGTTGTGAAACGTTGGTAGGTGCACAGGAAGGTAGGGACAAAAAGGGGGTCCTTGAACACTACACACGGTACCAGATGATCCACCAACTTCTCCAGTCTGCCTGCCTTGAGGATCCCCAGGCTATGCCAGTCATCTGATTTGTCAGCTGTGTCATTTTCATTCTGGGTTGTGGAGACAGTTTAAACCGTAACTGTAACAAACTGGAAAAGGCTCACTGGCATAAAGTAAAACAGCCATCAAGAATTAGGCTACAAAAAAAAAAAAAAAGAATTAGGCTACAGAGGATCCAAGATGGTGACTAGAGGGAGGAAGCAGACAACATGAGCTCCATAAATCAAAAATCTTTTTGAGATGCTGGAGCCACACTTGGCAGAAAAAAAACAACCAGAAAGAAGCAAAACTCCAACACCCCGAACCCCCAGCCTGTACCACATTTCACTAAGAAAACAGGAGGGCTCCCGCACCACCAGACAATGGCTCCAAACCTGCTTGGGAGATGCAGACTAACAGGTGAGCAAATAAGCGGCACACGGTATTCCCACAGCTATGCCTGGGATAAACAAGCATAGACCCAAGACAGACTGACCCCAACCCGCAAAAAAATTTAAAAAAAACTGGATAATAAACAAGGAACTGAAAAGGACACACAGCACAGGAGGCAGGGGACACTGAACTCAACGAGAAGGGGGGAGAGGCAAGGAGCTGAACTCGAACAATATTCCCGTAAACAAGCCCTAGAAAGGTAGATGAGTTGACATTAGGCGGGTGATGAGCCGCTGCCTGAAACAGGGCATATAGTGGTCCAAAGAGCTCATCTTCTGACCCACCCACATGATGAGACTACAACAGAGCTGCTGCTTAAATACCAACACCAGGACTGGATGCTGAAGGAGTAACACCAAAACTACTAAGACTGAAATTCTATTGTTCCTGAACCAGGATTCTTTTTCTTTTAATCTAAGTGTTTGTGTTGTTCACTGTTCATCCACCATCTCTCCCTGTTGATTTCTTTGGTTCTCTATTTTTTTTCTTTTTCTTTTTTCTCTCTTTCTTGGTTTCATTAGTTTTAGTATTATAAGTTAGCTAATACTAAATACAGACAGACCAGGGAAAGAAACAGTACCAAGTGGAATTATGGGAGGATGAAAAAGGGATGGAAACCATTCTCCCTCCCAAAATTAATTAGTACAGGATTCAGAGAGAAATGAAAAAAAGGGATACCAGTTCCAGACTCCAACAAAACAAAGAAAGAGTAAGCCAAGGAACATAATGAAGCCCACAAAAACTCCCTGAAAGAAGAAATCACTGAGATTTTCATGGAGATGTTACTAGACAAGGTCAAACAAAATGTACAGGACGCAATCAAGAAATTCCAAGAACAAAAATAAAGAATATGAGAAGACATTAAAACAAATAAGTAAACTCATAGGAGCCCTGAATAAATACAAAAGTGAAACAGAAAACACCATAAACAGAGAGATAAATGAATTAACGATGAAAATTGACAATATTAAATAGAAAGTGACCCATGATATGGAACACATCAGAAAAAAGAATGAAACAGAAATACAAAACACAATGCAAGGCCACTCCAGCAGACTAGAACAAGCAAAAGACAGAATCTCAGAACTTGAGGATAAAATTCATTTAAAGGAAAAACTGAAGAATTACTACTAAAACAACTCAGAACCTGTGAAAACAATATGCAAGACCTCACCAAACCATGAAAAGACCAAACCTGAGATTCATGGGCATTGAAGAAGAAGCAGTGCAAGCAAAAGAAATTCATAATATATGCAACAAAATAATAACAGAAAATTTCCCAAATCTAGAGAAAACTATGCCCATTCAGGTATAGGAGGACTCCAGAACACCAAACAAATGTGACCAAAACAGAACTACACTGCAACATATTATTAAAACAACAAGCACAGAGAACAGAGAAAGAATATTGAAGGCTGTAAGAGAGAAAAATCAAATAACATACAAAGGAAAACCCATCAAAATCACAGCAGATTTCTCAACAGAAACCTTAAAAGCAAGAAGAGCATGGACTGAGGTCATCCGGGCACTGACTGAAAATAACTTCAACCCTAGGATACTCCACCCAGCAAAACTATCATTCAAAAATAGATGGAGCAATAAAAGTCTTAAACAATAAGCAGAAACTATGACAATATATGGCTACCAAGCCACAACTACAAAAGACTCTTCAAGGAATTCTGAACACAGAAAATGAAAGTGAACAAAACCATGGCAGGACACACAGTACCAAACCACAGGAGACAACAAAACAACAAAGCAGAGAGTAACATTAATTCAGCTGCACACAATCAAACCCTTAAACAACAAAGACAACCAAATGATAGGAATCACCACATACCTATCAATACTAACATTGAATTTTAATGGACTCAATTTCCCTATCAAAAGACACCCTTTGGAAAACTGGATTTAAAAGGAAGATTCAACACTCTGTTGTTTGCAGGAGACCCATCTCATCAACAGAAACAAGCACTGACTAAGGGTGAAAGACTGGAAGAAGATTTGCCAAGCCAATGGCCCCCAAGAACAGGCAGGGGTAGCAATACTTATCTCAAAGTAGACTTCAAACTTACATTGATCAAATGAGATAAAGAAGGAAATTATATACAAATAAATGGGGAAATACACCAAAAGGAAGTAACAATTATCAACCTATATGTAACCAACGTCAATGCACCCAATTTCATCAAACATACTCTGAAGGACCTAAAAACATATATAAACTCCAACACAGTGGTAATGGGAGACTTTAATACCCCCCCCATCACCAATAGATAGGTCATCCAAACAAAAAATCAATAAAGAAATCCTAGATCTAAATCACACCACAGATCAAATGGACCAAGCTGATGTCTACAGAATATTTCATCCAACTTCTGCACAATATACATTCTTCTCAGGAGCCATTGGAACTTTCTCCAAAATTGGTATGTTAGGGCACAAAGCAAGCCTCAGCAAATATAAGAAAATAGAAATAATCCCATGCATTCTATCTGAACACAATGCATTAAAACTAGAATTCCACAACAAAAACAACAGTAAAAAACATGCAAACAATTGGAAACTGAACAACACATTGCTCAATGATAAATGGGTCATTAATGAAATAGAAGAAGAAATTAAAAGGCTCCTGGAAGTTAATGAGAATGAAAACATGACCTACCAGAACTTATGGGACACAGCAAATACAGTCCTAAGAGGAAAGTTTATAGACATGAGTGCATGTATTAATAGGACGGAAAGATTTCAAATCAATGACTAATACTTCATCTCAGACTACTAGAAAAACAAGAACAAGCAAATCCCAAAATAAGCAGAAGGAGAGAAATAATAAAAATAAGGGCCAAAATCAGTGAAATACAAACAAACAAACAAAAAAACCCCATACAAACAGTCAATGAAACAAAAAGATGTTTCTTTGAGAAAATAAGTAAGATTGACAGACCCCTGGAAAATATGACTAAAATGAGAGAAAAATCCCAAATCAGAAAAATCATAAATTCAAAAAGCGATATAACAATAAACACCACGGAAATCCAGGAAATCATCAGAGACTTCTTTAAAAACCTATATTCTAATACATTTGAAAATCTTGGAGAAATGGACAGATTTCTAGATACTTTTGTCCATCCATAATTGAACCAAGAGGACATTAATAGCCTGAATAGATCTATAATACAAAATGAAACTGAAGCAGCAATAAAGAACCTCCCCAAAAAGAAAAGTCCAGGACCTGATGGATTCTCTGTTGATTTCTATTAGACCTTTAAAGAAGAACTAATACCAGCCCTCCTTAAACTTTTCCACAAAATAGGAAGGGAAGGAAAACTGCCAAACTCATTTTATGAAGCCAGTATTAAACTCATCCCAAAACCAGACAAAGGCACCTCCAAAAAGGAGAACTAAGAGCCAATTTCCTTAATGAACATAGATGCAAAAATCCTCAATAAAATAACAGCAAACTGAATCCAACAACACATTAGAAATCATTCACCACAACCAAGTCATCTTCATCCCAGGGATGTAGTGGTAGTTCAACATACTTAAATTTATAAATGTAATACAGCACACTAATAGAAGCGAACACAAAAACCACCTGATCATCTCAGTAAATGCAGAAAAAGACTTTGACAAGATCCAACACCACTTCATGATAAAAGCTCTAAGAGAACTAGGAATAGAAGGAAGTTACCTCAACATTGTAAAGGCTACATATGACAAACTTGCAGCCAAGGTTTTCACACTTAATGGTGAAAAACTGAAACCATTTCTCCTAAAATCAGGAACGAGACAAGGGTGCACACTATCCCCACTCCTACTCAACATAGTACTGGAATTTATAGCCAAAGAAATTAGGCAAGAAGAATGAATACAAATAGGTAAGAAACTGTCAAAATATCCTTATTTGCAGACGATATATTCCTATACCTTTAAGACCCCAAAAACTAGACACCATAAACAGCTACAGCAAGGTGGAAGGATACAAAATCAATTTACAGAAATCATTAGATGCTCTATACACCAAAACGAACAAACTGAGAAAGAATATATGGAAACAGTTCCATTTACAATAGCAGCAAAAAAAAAAAAAATCAACTACCTACAAGTAAACATAACAAAGGATGTGAATGACCTCTACAAGGAGAACTACAAATCCCTGAAGAAAGAGATTGAGGAGGACTACAGAATGTGGAGAGCTCTCCCATGCTCATGGATTGGGAGAAAGAACATAGTAAAAATGGCTATACTACCGAAAGCAATCTATGTGTTTAGTGCAATTCCCACCAAAATACCAATTATGTTCATCACAGAGACTGAAAAATCTACCCTAAAACTCATTTGGAAACACAAGAGACTGCAAATAACCAAGGCAACACACAGCAAAAAGATCAATGCTGGGAGTATCACAATACCCGATTTCAAACTGTATTACAAAGCAATAGCAATAAAAATAGCATGGTAATGGCACAAAAACACACATGGAGACCAGTGGAACAGAATAGAGGACCCGGGTATGAGTCCACACAATTATGCCCTCCTTATTTTTGACACAGGTGCTAAAAACATATGATGGAGAAAAGACAGCCTCTTCAACAAATGTTTCTGGGAAAAGTGG